TATTGCCATTGCTCAATAATCCAGTCTCTATGTTCCTTAACAAATTGTGGATTCTGTTTTCGGTTAGTCGGAGTAACTGGAAGTTAACCCCGTAACCTTTGAGTTCTTATCTCTTTATACGAGAGGAAATGGGTTGTCCTATTATCCAGGATGTTTGTTAATTCTAGGATCTGTTTTCGCGTCGATTAGGTTTCACTTATCGTTTCAATAGTTTCTGGTCACGATTGCTTAGGATCGTTTTTTGGATCACACGCTTTCCGCGAAGAATTTGGTTCATTCATAACTTTCCAAGCTTTGATAAGACGTTGGACAGTATGCAAATCAGACTGGTCTTTGGGGCAGTGATCTCTAGCATGTTTCCCTTTCCTTTTTAATTGTGCCAGAAAATTTGGGCCCTTTTTTTGGAAGTAATGAGCTGTTTTAGAATTTGAATGCTTGAACTCAGGTAGAGATATTTCTTTCTTCTCTTTCTTATTTATTTTTACAGCTAAATCAAAAAAGCGATAATTTTTAATATCAATGCATAATCCCTCACGATAAAGTTACGCATTTTATTTTTATTAAATGTTTCTTATAAAAAAAATTTTCAAAAATTTCTTTTTAAAAATTCATTTCATACTTTTTTCCTATTTTCCTACGATACCAGCAAAAAAATGAGTGAAAATGGCCATTAAAAAATTTAAGAATTTTTTCGGAAAATTTTTCTCCCAAAACAGAAAAAAGGGAGGAGGATTTGATATTTGTTATTCGTTAGAATTATATACAAAAATTTTCAAATTGTTAAAAGTTTAAAAAAAAATTTCATTATTTAATTATAAAGTAACTTGAATAAATTTAAAAGTATTGTTATATAAAAAAGCAATGCATGGCAATTTTGACTGTTTATTTGTTCAGGGACAGAGTGAGAACTTCAATCAATGTTTTGGGAGACGCCTTTGGAGCTGGAATCATCCATCACTTATGTAGAGGGAGGGAAATTACAAACTAACATTAACAGAATCAGTATAGAAATTCGAGAATGTTACGCGGATTCACGACGAAGAAGCTCGGTATCTTCAGCTCAATACTCATTTCGCAATATAAAAAAATAAAAAAACGCCAAACCAAAAGAACAAATGTCGCTTTTAGATGAAGACAGCAATAATGAAACTCAAATGTAAAAATCTTGACTCTGCGAAGTATTGTATTCATAAAATATTCATTGATTGAATTAATAAAATGTTTTTAAAATTCTCTATTTTGTAATTTAATTAACCCTTAACTGTTTGCCCGTACACCATACGGGCTACCGAAAGCTGGCCACGACTGGTTTGCCTATACTCTGTACTGGTACTAATATTTTCGCCTCTCTATCTTTGATTTGCACATATTTTTCATTCTTATAGAGAGATTATTGGTGCTAGGGATTTTAAAAGATGCAGTTTGTCTATGGTACTGAAATACTTTTCATCCTGGATTTTCTTTGTAGTGAAGTCGGGAATTTAAATTCTTAAAAATGTTCAATAAAGAACAAGGCAATGTGCAATTTGTTGCTTGTGAAGAAATTAAAATGGAAGGATAATGCAAAAAAATCGATGATATCTATGTTGCCATTTCAATGTAAGACTTAGTATTACATCATGCTTCAAATTGTGTGTGCATATATGTATGCATACACGCACAATATCCGTAACCATTTGAGAAAGAGGTACGAACATTAAATTTTTTGTAAGTATCAGAGAAATTATTTTAAGATACATAAAACATTCTTCATAGCAAGCAGAATGTACTTATAATAAATAAACATTTCGGGGTTTTTACGTTTCACAATCATGAAATAAAAAAAATAGTGTGAACGTTTTTTTTTAATAAAGAATGATTATTAAATAGAAAAGGAATTAAAACTCCGTAAACTTTTCTGATTGGGATAAAAACAATCATATTTCATTTTAATTGTATTATGTACATACATAATTTTCACACGACAGATAAAAATATCAATTTAAATTTTATACTCTTGTTGTTTCTTATGCCACATGATCTCGACTGCGACAGATCTAGTCCCACGAAATTCACCATGGCAAGGGGCTACATTTATGCCTGTCGTTGGCCGTAGCATTGAGCACCATACAGGTGACAGTACGATTTAGCTCGGTTCCACACCAATTTAGAGGGAGAACACACTGGGGGTTAGGCCCTTCCACCAACCTCACAAGAGGACTTGCGGCTCGACGGCTATTTAGACTACTCCCATGCCGCAAAGGTACTATAGGTTTACATACATCCATGCCTTCTCCGGGATTCGAACCCAGGCCCCACGGCACGGCAGTTAGCGTCGCTTATCACTATACCGGATAGGCGGCACAAATCTAGAAATATATAGGATTGTTTCAGAGCTATGTATATTAACTTGAGTAAATTTCTCTCATTTCTGTACTCTATCCACAAGATTAAATTTAACAATATATCAATTCCTTGATATTACATATGACAGAACTAAAGTATGATGTGCTATTTGATATTATATTCATTTGGGTATGATGTTCTTTTTCAAAAAAGTTTATCAAGAAAATTTTTTTCTTTTTGAATTTTTTGTTTTCTCTGCTTTTCTTGTTTTACGTCCTGGAATTATCCAAATGTTGTTAACCATGTTTTCTTTTTCTTTCTTTTTGACTATGATCAAACAAATTCTAAATCTAATGCTACCTTTATTAAAAATTTGATTATGATCTTTGAATAAATCTAATTCCGGTGTTGATTAAAAATTTTGTTTTTTGTTTTCCAAGACTTAAAGAGATTTCTTAAACATTTTCAACTTGTAAAATTTAATTGTTATAATGAAATATTTAACTTTTAATAGCAATAAAATATTTTTAAAATTGCATTCTGAGGGTTTTTTTCTTATTTATATATACATTTTTTAAAAACACTTTTTAAGAAAACTTTGGATATGAAAGAACTCATAAATCTTAACTTCTGTCCACTGGTTGTATGCAAATGCTGTTTTAACTTTTGCATCGATATTCAAAATATGTAAATTGAATTTCAGCTTTAAGGTATCCGACTACGTTCGGAACCGTAATTTTAAAAAAGCGCATAAATGGATAGTTTTCATGATATTTAGTGACACTTAGATTAGAGAATACATGTATAAAACTGTTTTATAAGGACATTTTGACAAAAAAAATTTTTTAAATAAAATATTTCGGCAAAAAATTAACTTAGAATAACATTTTTTCAAAATGTTCTCCGTTTGTGAAAAATGCTTGTATTATAATAATATTTTGCCTGTAAAAGCCATAACTCTGTACAGAGGCTCAACTATGATTTTTGAAAAATTCACATTATTTTCAGAGTTACAACCCATTGAAATAATTATCGGCGTTTTTTTCTTAAAACTGCTCCTCTCTGGTGTAGTAAAACATGGATAAACCCACTTCTAAGTTATATATTTCAGAAATTCTAGTAAAGCCTCTGTACAGAGATCTGAGCTATGTACAGGCGAAATATTATAATAGAAGTATTTTTCACAAAAGGAGAACATTTTGAAAATGGGTCATTCTATGTTCATTTTTTGTCAAAATATTGTGCTTAAATAATTTTTTATTGTAGTACTATTCTTATTCTTAAAACAATTTTATATACATTTTCTAATCTAAGTGACACTAAATATCATAAATATTATCCATTTATACGCTTTTGCAAAATCGCGGTTCCAAACGTAATCGGATACCTTAACTGTAGTTGAAGTTGGTTTAATTTTTTAAAATGTAAACTGTAGGGGAAAAAAAATGGAAGCCACTTACTTTTTATTTAAAAGATTTTTCCATCTTATTAATACGAATGGTACGGTATTTAATTAAAAATGCGAGTTTAAAGGCATAAACATTTTTTGTGACTGTTTTGTGCAGTGTCTCCCTTGCAAGAGAATGTACATGTGTGGGTTAACAAGGTGGGGTGACAATCGCAGCGCCAACATCCCGACCCACGTTAAAATAACATTTCAAGAAACGAATAATGTTACATAAATCATTCATAAAAATACAAATAATGAAAAATTAAAAAATATGATCAATGAAAACTGCACATTAAAATAAACAAAAAAAATATATGAATAAAAATATTAATGAGTACGTTTTTGAATGATTACACGGAGAAAAAAGACTTACTCAAAAATGAGTACATAGACATACTCATTTTGAAATGAGTATGTTTGTCTCATGTTTGATCACACGGTTTTTTCGAATATGAAACCTTGCATGTACTCAAAACCCGAAAAAGTGGTTAATTAACACTTTGAAACCAATTAAAAAAGATATTCAGGTTGTGAAACCACCCCCCTAAGGTGACCGTTTCTTTGATTGTCCGCGTGAACTAGAGGTGTAGGGTTTACAAAAGGAACAGACATTTTAAAATTCTTAATATGACTTTATTAAGAATGAAATTTAAGTGTTTAGCAATTTAGATAATATTATATATATGCGAGAATCTGCTATGAACAAACACACAGTAATATTTAAACCGAATCGCGTAACTTGGACCACTATCAATACTTAAATCGCCTAATCTCACTTCTAATAATATTACAAGTCCTAATATCAAATAATCAATCCTACCTTAATCCAATTTTGTTTCAATCTTATAAAGGGGGCGTCGGGGCCCGCGTGCAATGGTATGCACCTTAACCTAATGACTTAATCTTCAAGGTAACTTCACAATTGGCTGTCAATTCTCGCTTGTATCACTTTCACACATAACATTCCCCAAATTGTCATACAACTTACTGAAATTTCTGTTATTTAAAAGATATCTTATTTACATTTCCACTTCACATTTCGCTTCTTGGGTTTTGGTTGCAAAAGAGTTGCCATTAATCTTAGCCCCCAAAGAACCCAGAGGTCATGTTAAAGAAAAGACACGTGAGCCCGTCACAATCCCCTCCAAGAAGGCAAAACGTGATTTATTCGAAGGTGACGGTGCAAGAGAAAGGGGCTGGGTCCCTGGATGTGGAGCGGGAAGATATCTGGTTGATCCTGCCCATAGCATATGCTTGTCTCAAAGATTCAGCCATACACGTCTCAGTACATGCCGATTAATGATAAGGCGAAACCGTAAATGGCTCATTAAATCAGTCACGGTTCATTGGATCGTGACGCGTTACTTGGATAACTGTGTCATTTCTAGAGCTAATACGTGCAGACGAGCTCCGACCGCCCCCTGGGGCGAGACGAGCGCTTTTATTAGATTCTTCCCAAGCCAGCAATCTCCGAGGACGTGAAAGAAGCTGAATAACTTGGCAGATCGCAGGGGCGAGTCCCGGTGACGTATCTTTCACCTATCTATCTGCGTACCTTATCAACTGTCGACTTTAGGTGATGCGCCTACCGTGGTCGCCACGGGTGACGGGGAATCAGGGTTCGATTCCGGAGAGGGAGCCTGAGAAACGGCTACCACATCTAAGGAAGGCAGCAGGCACGAAAATTACCCAATCCCGGCCCGGGGAGGTAGTGACGAAAAATAATGATGCTGGACTCTTCGAGACCCAGTCATCGGAATTAGTACGCTCTAAACCCTCTAACGAGGACCTACTGGAGGGCAAGACTAATGTCAGCCGCTGCGGTAATTTTAGCTCCAGTGGCGTATACCAAAATTGTTGCAATTAAAAAACTCGTAGTTGGATATCTGATCTGGGTAGGGGCCGCTCACGTGGTCAGCCATGCGCACCCGGCATTCTGCTTGCCACTGGGTCGGCCCCCGGTGGATGGCGGTAATCGCTTTGCAAAAATTAGAGTGCTCAAAGCATGCTGTAAAGGCTCGGATAGTAATGCACGGTACGATGGAACATGACTTCGGCTCTGGGGCGTTGGGGATAGATGGGGACCGGGAAGAAAAAAAGAACGAAAGGGGGGGTTCCCCGA